TTATAATTGTTTTAGATACTTGTTTCAAATGAATGGACTAGGAAAGATGGTCTGGACATCTCTGCAGACGGCAGCTTACTGCCATGAAGTGGAGCTTTGAGTGTGTTTAATGGAAGATACCAGAAATATTTCAAGATGCTAGATAATTTCATTTAAAATGTTGCTATTGATATTTCCATTATGGTATGATACATAAAAAATAGGGACCCCAGTGAAATTGCCTTCTGGTTTTATTTTTGTAAGAATTTTCAAGATCTGTAAGGGCTTAAACTGTGATTCTCAAACAACTTGTTTGCACGGGATATTACCTTCTGTTCCTTTAACTCTGTTTCAGTAAAAACAGCACCAGTAGGTGTTTTTGTATACTATATAAAAATAATACAGAAGGCATAGTGTTTGATGTCTAACTAATTCACCACCCATTTTTATGCAGAGTTCTAAAACATGTACAAGCATAGTTCTGTCTCACACCAGCTACCCAATAAATTATACCTATCTATTACAGTTAGTTAAATAAATATTTGTTGTGTGTATATATATATATTTGCCTCCTTAGAGTTACATGCAGTAGCTGTGTATATTTTTCTTTCCTATTAATATGAAACCTGAAAAATTCCATGGGGTCTTTCTACTATGTAACTCTGTGTAATCAATTCATATCATATTTTGTGATCTTCCCTTTGTTGCTTTGCCTGTTCTTGAAATGTGATCTTTCCTAAAGTGTATTTTCAAACAGTTTGGCAATAAATGCCCTCAAGCAATTAGTACCACAAGTTTTGTGGAGTCTGCTGCATATCTCTATGGAGATGGTAACCACAAAATTTACAATTCAGCTTCATGCAAATCTCCTCCATCCATTCTTCATACCTTGCCTAATTGATAGTCTTCAGTATTTGTGTTCATATGGATTGTCATTGTTTTGCAGATGACTCAAAAATGTCTGTTTAAACCAGGATTTATTCTGGCATCTCTTGTTTAGTATCAGTAAATTTGTACATACAAGCTAGTCTTCATGGTGATTTAATTTATATTGTAGGCAGAACTGATTTCTAGCAGCAATAAAGGTAGATGGTACTGGGATCCATCTGGTCTTAGAGGATTACCTAAATGTTTTCAGGTCACTCAGCTAAATGCTCTGATTACTGTGCTGCATGGAGAGCTTTCCTTGGGTGATCGACAGAAAATCATGACCACTTGCACCACAGATGTTCACGCTAGAGGTGTAGTAGCAAGCCTTGTAGCTCAGAAGGTATATGTTTGGATCAGCTGTATTTTACATGCATGGTTTTAGTGGTTTTGAAAGGAATTAGTAGTGCTTAAGTCAAGTTTGGGTCTGGACCTGCATGTGGACACCGGGACAGTAGAGGTGGGGTAGGTATAATCATGAAGACAGCCTGCTTCAGAGCTGTGTGCCGTGCCTGCATTATTATGGGCTACTGCCTTCTGAATTTAAAAGCTACCTGAAAAAAAAGTCAGGTGTCATCTTTTACCTGACTTCTAAGAACCTTTCAAACTTCTAGTATGTTTTCTGTGAGCAACAAGGTATTTCCTTTAAATTTCAGATCACAAAACTGAGTGCAGGCAATCCTTGGGCATTCTGAGGATTTTTCTCCGAGTGTCTTTACTTATCCTGCCTTCAGTTGTTCACAGTGTGTTTTGCTTTCCTTTTAGAGGCATATTGTGCATCTAGAGAAAGGCAGTCCTATCCTGTGGTGGGTCTTTTTATGTGCATACAGTTACAACATTGAGAGTTTATTTAAACCAAAGCGCCCACTCTGTATGTAATTTGTTCAGGTAAAACTAAGGTGTCTGGCACATGTTGCTGGTTTGAATGCACAAAATTTTTCACTGGATGGGGATTGAAATGGGAAAGGATTCTCATTTTCCTTTTGACCTCCCAAGCCTAAGAAATAAAATGGGTTTCTAAGATGGCATTAAGACAAGAAGAAACAAGGCTTGAGGAGTAAAATGAAACTCAGTCTGGTCAAAGTAATGTCTGCTCCCATGCAAAGACTGCATTGTTTGTAAGGAGAGGTCTTGGCTTAGGAAGTGGCAATGTGTTCTGCTCTAATAGCTCTATTAAAAGATCTTACATTACACTTGCAGCTGTATAAAAGCACAAATGCCTCGAGGTGCGTCTAATCCTTTATTACTGGTTGTAGTAGTTATTATTCATAAGTGGCTAGGAATGAGGTGTGAGACCTACTGATGACAGCTGTAGCTTTGTGATGGGTCACATTTCTTTCATCTGAATAGTTCCTACCTAGCATAGTAGTTTTGCAATGGCTTTTTAGATCACCGGTTCCCGAGCCGTTGCTTGGCTGTCACAGCTGTGCCATAGATGGGATGATGCCCAGAAACACTGTTTTGCCAACACTGACGCTCGGTTTCAGTACTTTCATGAGTACTCGGGAAATACCCCTTGGCTAGTTATGACACCTTTGACTGACAGGTGATGACTGTTATTAATAACAGTGTGTGCTTTATCTGTTTTGGTGAATAAAAAGTTAAATGTTTCTTAGAAGTTCAGTGTTCTTTCACACCTCATATGTATTTTATAAGGTTATTAAGATGCAATAGCTTTGAGCATGTGTGTGCAGGTAGGTGTGCATACTTAAGTCATGGTATGATCTTAATGTCCATTACTTTTAAAATAACTGAAATTATTCTTGCATAACTTAATGTATATATTCAGTGTCTAGTTTGAAGAAGAATATGAGCTAATCTATACCAAGGTTAATCAAGAGTTTTCAGCAAAAGAATTTTGTTTTTCACGTGTTAAAGGCCAAACCGGTACTTTTTTAACACCACGTACAACGAAGCTTTTTTTATGGAAATGTTTTGGCTCCAGAATGGAATTTCTTGTCAAAATCGGTGAACCAGAACGATGCACCCAGCAATCCTGGCTGGCTTAGTGTTTATGACCCTCAGTTCAGGGGGACAAATCTGGGGCTAACGTCTTTGAAATAGGAAAAGCATCAACTGCAGCCTACTGTTTCCTGTCTTGTGTGGTCACTGATAGGATTTTCCTTCTTGCTAAAAAATGTTCATGTGGTTGGTTTTTCTATCTAAAATAAGAATTTTCCAAGTAGTGCCACATCATGAGTTTACATGAATGTGAAACTTAAATTATAATGAGAAAATGGACTCAGAATACATTCCCCACGAAACTTCCGATATTGCAGATGTTCCTTGCAATGCTAACAATCACTGTTCTTAGGTCCAGGTGTAACATACTCTAGCCCAGTCTCTCCACCTAACAATGAGCATTGCTGCTGCGGGACTAGCCAACGCAGGTAAAACAGAGACCACCAAAGATCTAGGCCGTGCCTTTGGTATGATGGTGTACGTCTTCAACTGTTCTGACCAGTTGAATTACAAGGTAAGATGTTCTGCTAAGTGGTATGGAAATTGTTGTTTCATTTCTTTTTCATGTGAAGTACATTGGAAATTGGTGCTTTCAAGAAAAAGATCTTAATTTTTTCACTTTTGATTTTAGTCTTTAGAGAATATCTGTAAGGGTTTGGTCGAGACAGGAGCTTGGGGATGCTTTGATGAATTCAGTCACGTCTCTGTAGAAGTTCTGTCAGTCATGGCAGTACAAGTAAAGACTTTCCATGACGTGACTAGGAACAAGAAGCGAGTATTTTAGCAGGGCTTCTTTATTGTTCTTTGCAGACTGTAAATACTGAACCAGTAAAACCTTCTTCCAGAGCTCCTCTGAAACCCTATGTAAATGCAGGGAGGGAGTAGATGGTAAGATTAAATCACCTGTGTAATATACTACCTAAAAATAACTCTCTCTTCAAAGTGTAGCAATAAATGTGAGTGAACTACTGGCCCTGCAGGAATCCAGTTAAAACTTTGCTGTTGAAATTCTGGTCCTGTTCAAATCCCACAATGTGAAATCATTGCATCATATGGGTGAGAAGTTTGGTGGAGTTCAGCTTTGCAAAAAGTCTCAGGGGTTCCAGTGTTTCCCAGTGGTTTTGAGACAGGCCTTGTCTTTCCACTGTCCCATCTTCTTCCTCTGCATCCTTTACTCGATGCTGTCTCCTGGCCTTTTCAAACCCACCGCATCTCTATCAGTCTTAATTTATTTTACATGTTTTAAAAGTTAATTCCTCCTATAGATATACTTCAGCCAGATGAATTCTTTGCTGCTCTTACAGTCCAGCCTTTTCTTTCCAAATTCGGTGTTGGCCAAGAGTGGTCACCTCTTGGTGAGGTGGTGCCTGCTAAGGAAATGCCCCTATGTTTGCTCAGCTCTGATGAACTTTCCTAGGTATCTGCTTTTGGCCATTGTGAGAGATGGGATCCAGGCCCAGATGCAACTTTGTCGCCTGACGCATGATGGCTGGTTTTGTATTTACATCTAATTCAACTGTAAAATGTTTGCAAGCAGTATCTTTGTTAGAACAGATTTTTATTCCTTGGTGAAAACATTACAATGAAGTCATCGTTTGGAATATTGATTACCATGAACCCAGGATATGCAGCTTGGACAGAACTACCTGGAAACCTCAAAGCTCTGTTCAGGCAAGTATGCTATAGTGTACTTTTACAGTATACAAGTATGTCAAGCCTACATTTAGAGTACGTACATCACCTAATGATAATAGCCTTGGCTTGCAATGAAGTGCAGTTTGTGTTTGCTTCAGAATTTCTGTGGGGAAATAAAAAATCAATATTCATGTTGTGCCTGCTTGTACACCATAATGACATGGGAAAATGTATAACTTGCCTTTTCTTTTTAAATTTACTTAAAATTTTAGAGGTACCTGTGAACACACGGAATGAACCTAAGTATGTGCAAGAATATTTGCTGTTTTGTGGTAAATAGGAATCTTCATAGCTGGCTTAACCTAGTAAAATAACCATCTGTATAAGTGTATATCTATCACATTCTTCCATAGGTGTAGGTATGCGTGTGTTCATAGATGTTTCATAACTACCAGTTGAAAATGAAGCCATATACTCTTACCTAGAAAGATATTGGATGTGTGATTGAGAAGCTGTGAAAAGTATAGTGCACAGCAAACAAATGCATATGCTTTTGGACACTGTAGGACAACCCATTATCTTTTTCTTAAAGTACAGATTTATGCTTTATATCTTAACACTAATGTTTCAAGGAAGAAGGTTTTTTATTTAAAAGATCTGATATTTTGCATGCTGCGCTCAGTGAGTTTATATCAAAATGGTGTTTCTGAGAGTCAATTAGTTCCACAAGTGGTTGCTCCGGTGTGATGGCCAGTAAAATGATGCCAGTTTATTCTGATGAAATGTTGGAGCTGCGCTTTAAACTATGTGGCAATGGTCTTTGACTTAAGTGGTGCAGGGCTTGCTTTAAAAAGGAGTTGTCTGTTGAAATCCTTGCTCTTTCATTAACACTTCTCATTGATTTAATCAAGATTTGAGAAAAGAATGATTCTGTGATTTCATTTCTCGACGTATTGAAGTTCAGTGGGGCAAGCTGCAAGGCATTGCCAGGCTGTCTGGGGAGGCACAAGTATAGACGTGCTATCTGGGATCTGCTTCTCTGAGCGGTAAAACTCTGATATTTGAAAGATAGAAACTTTGGGCAGAACTGGGCATCACTGTTGCTTCTGTGAGCAAGTTGAAACACAGGTACTACTTTCTTCTGTATTAAAAGGTACATCAAGATTTTGGTGTATTTTTTTATTTCTGCTTTAGCCATGGAATTCCTGACACCATCCTCCTTCACGCTTTCGCTGCAGAAAGACACAAAGTCTGCTGAAAAAAATAAAACAGCTAGGAAGCTGTTTGCTCAGGCAGAGCTCATCCCCTTGCCAACCAAACATCCTGCTTCAGATGGCAGGACTGGGCGGCAGCAGCAATTAGCTTTCTTGTTCTTTGAGCCTAAATTACAATCATTTGTAACAAGCAGTAAGTAACATCTGTTTACGAGGAGGAGGCTAGGATTTCAATGCCGGTGCCTTGGCAGAGACTCTCACTGAATAAGACCCTGTAGCTGGGTCTTAGCAAACATTGGAGGGAGACCCTGAGAGATGCATCCCCCTTCCCCACAAGTGCTTTTTTTAGATATTTCACAACTTGGCTGTTGCTTTACCAAGCCTTCTGACCAACTGCCACCTAAGGTCCCTTCAAGGCAAAGCAGGATTGGTGCGCGCCAAGGGGACGATGTTGGGCAGGCCCTCAGCTCAGAACCTCGCACCATGGAGGACAAGGTGACGGGGACCCCATCCGCCCGTGTCTGCGCGGTGCGGCTGCCACCCTTTCTGCGTTCGGACAGTCGGCTGCCTTGGTGGCCAGGTCTTCCGCAGCCAGCCGCATGTGGTATTTGACGAGAGAGCAGGAGGGATCACTCCCTGTTGCTACCAAGTGTTTCATCTCTCAGTGGACAACCAGAGGATGGAAAATGTATATGATTACTGTTGTTGTTCATTCTTTGGAATGTTTTTCATTCGGGATGAACAGAGTAGGGGATATGAAACAATGTTAATAATATTTCTACTGAAATACCAAGTCAATTATGTTTTTCTTTGCTGTGCTTTTTATTATGGTTCTCTTTGCTTTTATTAGTTTAAAATTTTCAAACTGTACTTGCTACAGAGAGCTGAAGTGTTACCTTTACTTGGTTGTCAAATGAAATAAAAAGCCTTTGGAACTAAAGTTTGAACTGCTGCATTTGGCACTTGGGAATTCTGCCCTGTAGCTGATGTCTGTAATAGCTCTCATCTATTGTGCAAGGCACAGGAAAGGTGGGAGGTAACTGTTAAAGCATTAATTCCTCATATATTTGTCACCTAATAAAATCTTGTAAGGGAGAGAAGATGTGTTAAATACTACTAGCCTTATATTTCTTGTGCAAGCTATTATTGTATTTGCAAGAAGGGTGCTGGTTATGGTAGGTAGAATAGCATATAATTTTTTGTAATGGACTGCAATGCATATATCAGCCCTCGTTTGGGCTTGGGAAGAAGTGCTTTTTAGGGAATAGCTTAGTTAAACATTGTTTAACAGAGGGGTGCTTACTCTTTTTCTAGACTATATGTTACTGATTTCTGTCAGAAATATGCTGCTGAACTAAACCACTGGTCTTAGTTTTGTCATATTTAAATATGAATGGAGAGCAAAAGAAATCTTTGTATTTGTCAGTAGTAAGAAAAGTCCACTGAGGGCCAAATTTGCTGGTTTGTAGCTGACCTGAACACTAAATTGAAGTTCTCTTCTCTGTTACTATGTAACTGCAGTAGTGATTTTTAATGAGGAAATTGTTTAGCCTTTGCATTATTACTTTGTGTTACTTTTTAATTGGAGATTTTTCTCACTTGCACCACTAATATTACTCTGATTTTGCTCTAAAAGTTGGAACTAAAAGTTATTTTTGAAAAGAAACAAACAGTGAAACCGCCAAAGGCAACCATAACTTCATATGAAAGCATTAAAGCCCTCCAAAAATCAAAGTCCTTTTAAAAATGATGTCTTTTTTGGCAGTGGCAGGGTGTTGCACTTGACTTCCAGAGCCCCTACAGCTGCTGGCAGTGTCCTCCAGTCGCTGGTGGCAGGTGACGCCGCGGCGGGCTGTGCCCGCTCTGGGTTTCGGTAGTACCTGTCGCAAGCCCTGCGTTTCCCAGCTGCCTCCTTTGCGTACAGCCATATTACCGAATACGAACAATCAACAGTGCCTAATTAGCTCCTTTTAGTTTGAAGTAAAGTCCTTGTTAGCTTTGACTGACACTCTTAATTGTGACTCTCTTGAGCTCTCTTTTTAAAAATGTTTGCACACATCAGTCAGATGATTTACGTGACTTATTCTTACCATGTTTAAATACTAATCTGTGTATTTGGATTGTGGGGTTGGTTTGTTTCCTTAGGCTCTGTGCTATGGTTGGCCCTGACGTTGAACTGATCTCTGAAATCATGTTGGTTGCTGAAGGGTTTATTGACGCACGCCTGTCAGCCAGGAAGTTTATTACCATGTACAATCCCTGCGGGGAGCTGCTTCCTAAGCAGGTGAGGGTCTCTTTGGGCTTCTGGGCTTGAGGCATGATAATTAGGACATACCCACTTGGAAAAAGAGCAGCTGGATGTTGTATAGTAACCGGGTTTTTTATGTATATAGTCTTATTTTGAAGAGACTTTAAATCTGATGTCCTCCCTTATTAAATTGTCGGATATGAGTTTAGAAGAAAGTGCCCTTTCCTCTGATCTTGGGACATCTGTAATGCATTAATTTTGCATTAAATAATTTTATATCGCTGCTTCATACCTGGGATGGCTGAACTACATCGTGCTGTTGTGTAGTATCTATTTGTTTGAGAGGAGGAAAACCTTAAAGGAGAGCAGGAATTATTATGAATAACAAATAATGTATTCTATTTGCATAAATGTTTGCTTAAGCTTTCCCAGTAAATACAATGGAGGGTTGTTTGAAAAATGGAAATAAAGCGTTGCTAAATAATTCAATTATTATACGAGGAAGAATTCCTATTCAGAATAGTTATTTTAAAAATCTGCAACTTACAAAACTTGGAAGGTTTACCATTTCTTCCCTGTATGTATGCTGTTTACTCATTTCCAACTGTATAATTTTTCAGGAGACATTCTTAATGTTCAGTTTTATTAGTGGAATAAGAACTTGGAGAACCCTTCAACCTTAAGCCATAAACTCTAGCTAGCAGGGTCATTATGAAAGCAAAAGCAACTTTATTTTCATGCCTGCATAATTTTGAAATTATCGCTAAATATCCTGAAGTTTTCCTGACGCATTCTTGCAATGTTTCTAGAGATAATTAATCTGAACCATATATATCTTAAGGTATTGGTATTGTCTGCTTCACTAGAACAGGGTTTCCTCAACTCTAATGGCTACTTTGTCCTGGAGTCATTCTCTGAATTCAGAAAAATCACTTGTACTGTTGCTTTCCATGTCGATATTAATAATAGTAATAATGTTTGAAGCAAAACCTAAAATGTTCTTGTTTGTTTATTATTTTATTTTTATCTTATATTTTTTACTTTTAATGGAAATGGGAGAAATTAAATCCCTTTGACTTAAATTCTCTTCAGAGAGCTCTGAAAGTATTGGTCCAGTGCTGGGGCTCTTAGGGCTTTTGATACACTTTTGGGGGCAGTAGGATCATAGCCTACAAAAACTGCTTCAGAACAGGGTTGTCAGGGCTTTCAGTGCATATGCTGTGAGGGAAGGGACTTCTGGTCCTGTCATGCAATGGCAAATAGCCTGGATGTCTTGAAGTCCTTGTACACTGGGCAATCCACAAAGCAGCTGGCTGTAAAGATGCATAGCTTGCTCTTTAACAACCCATCAGATAGCAAACGAACAAAAAATTGGAGGAAAAAAAGCTTACCTAAATCTAAGCAAAAGTTCATTCAGCCCAGTATATTCCTAAATTTCCTATTTTCCTAACCAACTCTATATTTAACATCTTTGCCCAGGTGTACCATTTGTAAAATATGGAGCCACATCTTCATTGCAGATACTCAACACCTTTCATACCTCAGAAAAAGGTGGCAGCTTTTCTTACTGATGATGAACTGTTCTGAAGTTATAAATGTCTTTTTATTTTTTTCTTCTTTGGGATGTATTTTGTCCATTTGATTCACAGTTATAGAGTGCCACTATCATGGAAGGGGATAGTGACCTCTGTCAACTCTTAAAAATTGTATATTAAGTTGGGAGTTTGCTATTGGATTTTTTTGGCTGGTTGGTTTTTGGTTTTGGTTCTGTTTCATTTAGGCGATAATAACGAACTAGGCTGTATTTATATTGAAGTCATAGGTGTGGTTGCAGCTAATGTTCTCGGACATTACCTGATGGGTAGCCAGTTTGGGTGCTGACAGCAGGGTAGTTGCAACCCCAGAGGAAGTTTTGAAATTGCGGGAGGGGTAGTGTGTGCACACTAAGGAAACTGTAGACCACTACGGTGTGATGCATGCTAACATAAGGAGATGGTGGTCATGTAACTCACGGCTGCATCCACCCATAGGTCAGAGAGGAGCTGATTATCCACGTATTTCCCCAGCTTCTCTTCTAGTAGCTGGTCCCACTGCTGGTTATAACAAAATTAACCATCTGGGATCTACATGAGCTGCAAGAACACAGGTGTAGCCTTAAATTTAGAGCTGTAACTTCATGCTAGACTCCTTCAGCCATTGCAAAATTGGCTGTCGGGATACTCCTTCCAATCATACAAGGTGCTGTCGTTCAAATTGTTTAAATGTCAAAAATGTTTCAAACCCCTTCTCTCTCTACTTCGATGTTACCTAGGAAGGAGAGGGAAAGAGGTGAATATTACACAGCCCTGGAAAAAGGAGGAAGAGGGATTGAAGAGCCTATGTATGATGAAAAAGTTGTGCCTTCTGCACTGGATATCTCCCTTCCTACTGGCAGGGCTTAGGGGAAGATGCAGGCTTTTGCTATGCCCTTCACTTACCGAAAGTTTCTAGGTTTTTCCTCTAGGCTGAGTACCTATCTGTTTCTCTATTCCTTTAATTTTGGTGTGGAGCTGGTTGCAAAATATGTTCATAGTCTGTCCAGTCTTCTCTTTTGGAAACAGAAAAGCATTGCTAGGATCAGGTCAAATTAGTAGAAGTTTGGGAGCAAATTTTTGCTTGCCTTGTTTCATCATGGAGGTACAGTTGCAATGAATACAGTAATACTTGGTGGTGCAAATTTTGCCATTTAAAAATAGGGAACAAAGTGATGGAATACTAAAAATTAGATAGATACACACATTTCACACACACACCCCTTTTTTTTTTAACACTTAGTTTTGTTTCCTGTGCTAACATGACTGGTTAAAATGTTTTCACAGGACCATTATGACTGGGGGGTTTGTGCTATCAAGTCAGTTTGATAGTTGCTGGCCCACTGAAACGAGGAGACAAGAACAGACCTGAGGATCAGGTAAAATCTGCACTTAAAAGCATCTAAGAGTACGAACTGTTTCTGGTGTTTTGCCTTTGAATAAAAACAGAATCCTAAAAAGAGAAGGAGTTAATGCTCTTGCAATATGTGGTTTACCATCCTTTCCCAGGTGCTTATGTGAGCCTTAAGAGACTTCGGTTTGCCTAAAATTATGACAGATGATATCCCAATTTTCACAGGCTTGATCCGTAACCTGTTTCCAGCTCTGGATGTTCCAAGGAAGAGGAACCTGCAATGTGAACAGATGGTTAAAGAGTCTACAATAAACAAGAGCTTTATTCTCAAAGTAAAAAAAACATTGCCTTTAATTACTCCCCTTAAGAGTTTCAATCATAATAATTGCAAATGGGTTATATTAGACATGAAGGTTATTTTTGAGTATGTTACAGTATTAATAAGGTGTCCTCAAAGTCTCGGTATTGCAAAGGCATTTTGTCGTGGCAGTAATGCACCTCAGTATGATAAATATGTCCATAATGAAACGCATCCTGTTCAAAAAAGCTGTCTACATTGACAAACATGTTTGTTTTCCTACAGTACCAAGCATTTGCACTCGGTAGCAAATTAATTGTTGGTGATTATTTATAGGGAGGAAAGAAGAGTAAGAGAGCAAAAACATATAAATAAGGCAGCGTGCGTTTGGAATGTGCGTGTGATTTTTGTTTGTTCTGGTATTTCTGTATAATATAATGCACATTGTGCTATACACATTAAAAATGTGCATGTGCATCTATGTATTCTCATATGGATTAGTTGTCCATAAGCTAAATTTAAACACTAATTTTAGTTTGAATTACAGACAGGGTGAAAAGGTGAAACTTAGAAACGCTGGTTAGTATACGGACCAAATAAAAAGTGTGCTTATTTGGACTACTAAAAAAGTATATTCACACCCCCCTTCGAGGAACATCCATATCTGCTGTATGCAATAGCACACTCTGTATATATATATATTTATTAGGGTATGCTGGAAACTAAGTAACCAAGCTGGTTAAATGTGACTGATCTCAGGATTTTTAAAGGATTTCCTGCTCTTGTCATCTTGTTCTGTTATCCTGACGGAAGAGTGGAAGACAATAAGCTATACCTTGGGGTGTTATGAACTTTGCAATCAGCCTTCTATAGAGTGTTTTGATTCCTGCTAACTGGGTGAATCAGAAGATGAGCACTGAGGAACATGGACTCGTTCCTGTTGGACTTTAGCAAATCAATGTGGATGTTCTTTGCTAAGACAGAAATCCATAAGCAGCCAGGCTATTTTCATTCTGTGGCTCACAAAACTATTTAGAAGAAATGTGTTACTTCAGTGGACTGATTTTGTATTTTACCACATTATAGCTGCACAACTGTTCTGAGTGTGATATTCACTCTGCTAAAGTAATGGCAAAATTGTGGTAACTGTTCTGTATCCCTGGGTTGGCACAATCCTACTGGATTGTATGGCTGTCTAGCAGAATAGGATTTGTTCTCACTTGTTGAAATAACTGCATTCATTAATTTAAGCCAATTCTCTTCCCATTTTCTGGGAGACAAACAATGTTTCTTGATGCAGCATCAGCTCTGCTGAGGCAAATCTGCCAAGAAGATGTAAGTTCATTTTTTCCTGCTAAAGGGAATAGGAATGTGGAGGGGGAGATAATTTTTGTGAATAATTTTGTCTCTGTAATAAGAAGGACAACAGGAGAGGAAAGGCGCTTACGGTGTATCCCCTCTGTGCGGTAGGTTGTTGAGGTTGGAGGAGCTCCTGGCAGTGCATCACTCTGGGTTTGTCATTGGAAATATGAGGACTGGAAAGAGTAAGGTACCTGCCTAACTACACAGCATGGTTTTGACCTTATATTGTAAAGAAATAGCCATGGTTCTTGCAGAAAACCTTCTGCATGTTGCCTTTGCCTTACGCTGCAGTCTAATAACACAATGTTCAGGCTGTCCAGTCAGCCACATGATGTGCAATGTCAAAGCTCAAATATTACAAGAAAATTCTATGTTTTAGGTTGTGTTTGCATGTCCCAAAGGAAGATTAATCATGGCACCAGGTAATGAGCATTCAATTTGACAGATAGACTAAGTAATGCTCTGTTCTGGAAGGAGAAGCAGGATGGTTTAATTAGGCTTCTAGACAGAAATAGAGGAATATATTGCCAAAACACTAGACAAATACTTCTAATAGATAATGCTTGCCCATTTCTGCTACCAAATGTTGGCAGCTGCATGGATTTTGTTCCCCATTTAACACTTTCTATTAGAATTGACTGCAGAGTATAGCTGCTTCAGAATGGGCTTCTCCTTTCCTATACTTAGGCTTATTGGAAATTTGGTGCTAAACTAGTACAGAGGCATGAGTAGATGAAGGTGAACAGTAGACTGAGCGTGGGGATTTGCAGTCGGAGACCCACTTCAGGAAGAAAGTCAAAGATTCCTACTGTATCAAAGTTGTGTCACTAACATGCAGCCTGTGCCTCCTCTTCAGCTGCTGAATGGTCTGCAACACACGTACATGAACACGAAACAAAAGCCTGTTTGGAATGACCTTAACGCAAAAGCTTTGACAGCTGATGAACTGTTCAGTTTTATACACCATGCAACCTGAGAATGGAAAGATGGCAATGATAGCAGACATGTTCTTCTTACTAGGACGTGTTCCTGGAGACATTGTTCTCTAACAGAAATGGACAATGCCAGAATTTGGAGAAAGTGTTAGAGACCAAATTCTTCCATTTTTCTGTGGTTTTGTGCAATGAGATGTGGGTGCAGAGCACTGGTGGTTATGGAAAGACTGGAGGCAAGGCAGGATGCTAGTAGACAGAAAAGTACTAGCCCGAATGATACTGATTCTGCTGTCTCAAAGGGCAAGTTATTTTCTCCCCAGATCCATGAAATGTCCCATATCTCACCCATATCATTAAGACTAATGACATATTCTCCTGTAATCAAAACAGAAATAGGTCCTTATTACATAAAATGCAGTCATTTTGCTGTATCAAGTGTTCACTGGAAATATTTTTTATTTTTACATTGAATAACCACATAATAAGCAAGCAAAGCTAAAAAACATGGTTTTGACGCTACGAAAGCTTCTTGTTTCAGTGATGCATTAAGTCTTCTGAAGTTTTAATTGCTGTGCAGTGTTGTTATTTAAGCACTAAAGTGATGGGATTCTACTGAAATATAATTTGCAGGTCTTCTGTCATCTCTTCTGAGAGAGCAAGCTAATGTTACCCATAAGGAGCCACAAAGCTTAGTTTTTGATGGGGTTATAGATCCTATGTGAATTGGGTTGCTCAACACTGTTGTGGATGATAACAAGGTGAGCAACTGAGAAGCAAGTACGGTGGCTTACCCTCTACCTGTTTTCACACTTGCCTCTTATTTTTCTGGAGATAGTTTTTCAGTGTGTGTTCCTTTTTTCTTCCATTCTTGTAAATTCTTTGATTTTCCCCATTGCCGAGTAATATTTTAACATCTGAGTAACACATTATGTCTTGCCTATTTCATACAACAAAAAGGCTAAAAGTAGCCTATGTATACTGTAAGGGTGATTGTGCCTCCTAGTGTATGAGTTGATGTAATTCAAGATGTCAATCGTAAGATTATTGAAACGGGTATTTGGAAAGCCTGTCAGTAAAATAGATTTAGGATTCCACGAGTGAAGTCCTCACATCACTATAGTAAGGAAGGCTGGTGTTAAGAAATCTAAACAAATCAGTTTAAGAACCAGTAGTAGTACTCAGACTTCTTCATCCTTTCTTATTAATTATATAGCTAAAGCAATTTTGTTGGCTGTCTGAAATGCTGTAATGTAATGAAATCCAAATTTAAAATCTGAATGTAACCTTAGGAAGGTGACTGTAGTTTTGCCCCTTCTCTTAGGCTTAAGTTCTTAAGACAGGAAAGCTTAACTAATGACAGGGTCTGTGATTACTCAGCAAGGTGCCTGTCTGGGGCTAGCCACATAGCCTACCTTTAGCTAATGAACAGAAGGTGGCTTTTCCGAAGGACATTTCAGAGCATCTAAGTTTAGGCTCCTGCTCTGAATCATTTTCTGTTTATTCCCATTGACATTGAGAGACTTCGCCTCCTCTGCTCTTAGCAGCCTTCCGGAGAACTCACATTGGTGAAGCAGGTTAGTCATCTTTTGAATGAATTAAACTGTGAATTTGTCCTCCTGTGTGTTTCTGGAGTAAAAAACCATAGCCATGTTTGAATAAAGTTTGTTTAGTGATGTTCAATAAATAGTGTATGTCCATGGTGTTGCAGATAATCCTTGCTCCTTTGTGGGTCTATAATAAATTTATGCTTGCCCTGGTCATGTCCTTCTTAGTGTATCTTAGCTTGTTTTTGATAAATAATTTACTGATGATTTCTAGGTTCTGACCCTTAAAAGCAATGAACGTGTGCCTCTGACTCCGTCAACGCGGCTGTTATTTGAGGTGCACTATTTAAGACCTACTAGCCCAGCTGGAGTATCCAGAGCTGGTATTCTCTGTCTGAACACCCAGGACGTGGCGGGGAATCCTCGAGTATCTGATGATATTAGTTAGCATTTTTAAGATACATCTCGAAGAGTAGCAGGAAGAGACTCCATTATTTACATTAATTCTTCCTTCTAGTTTTTATTGTAATAATAGTGGGGTGATTTAATTGGTGGCCATGTATATTGTCAAATATGCAGTTTAGAAAATTTCAGCATTATGCGTAGTGAATAATGAAGGCAGTAGTGAACTGTCTGCTTTTTGTGATGCAAATTTGACAGTACCACGAAGTGAGTAACTTGGCTACCGTTTTCTGACAGCATTTTAATAACTGTCACCACCTTTGTTACTGTTAAGGACACTGTGATTCACATCAGTTTGGCTTTTTGTTTCTCTTACTCCTTTGGATCACAGTACTGCTCTTCTAACTTGTTCTATACCTATGCATCATGCAAATTAAATACAAGAACATTTTTTTTAAAGAATGTGGGTTTCCATGTATAAAAAGGAATTTCCATGTATAAAAGGGAATTTTCATGTATAAGACAGAATTTAAAAGGGAATAAAAGTGATCTTTTCCTTTTGTATTTGTTGAGCTGATCCAAAACAGTTCTTAAAATGCTAGTAAGTGAATCTTTTTAACATTTGTCAGTCAGTGTTTTTATCTTCAAGCAACATTACTGCTGTTTCATGTCAAAATTCAATTTTGCGGCATTCCAATGTGTCAACCAACATTTCATTCAGTTCTAACTATCTGCGTTAGAGTTGTATGCCGTTGGGACAAGAAGCTTTCAGTGCACAAGAGAAATCTTGTCAGTAGGAGAATGTAATTAAACAGCATGAGTACAAGCTGCCCACCTGGAGGATGAGGATCAGAGGACTGGTGGGGACATAGAGAGGCAATACGCTCTCTCACAGTAAACAGGAGTGTGGAGATGGAAACAGTAGGCAACAAACTGTCCAAATAGAATAGCTGTGAATGAGTAAATAATCAGTTTAGACCGAGTTTGACAAATACTGCGTGAAGGTGAGCAGGGGATAAAATTGGTTAATCTTTTGGAATATGGACAGTTAGGCATGTGGCTGCTAGCCTGAAGCATGTGCTATAGTTAGCGTAATGATAATGTATTCTAGACTTGGATGTGATAGAACGAGCAGATGAGAAGGGCTACTTTTTTATCTTCAATTTCAGATAGCCAGACTTTTCAGCCAGACTGGGTTATGTATACTACTGTAGATATCTGCAATGCAAGTTATGTTGAACTTGGGTGTCACATAATCCTCGGTCTTGTGTGTAGTTTACACACTGGTATTTTAAGTAATCTGATCTCAAACAACATAAAACCAATACAGAATCCTTACTCCCAACTGCTTTTAGGTAGTCCAGCCCTCTGAAAGCGGGAGAAAACTATCACCTAGGTCCTTTCTCCCTTCCGTCCTTGGGATAAAAAATGCAGTCAAGAAAATAGGAGTATAGCCATATGCTGGTGTGTTCAGCTGTCACAACAGTTCTTAGAAATGCAGCAGCATTATGACCTTTGCATGAACAAATAAAAATGTTGTAAGGCTGGCAGCACTTATGTCTGACTTACAGCCAGTGCAGTGGTATTGGTGCGTTGTACTAAAGGCAGTCACAAACAGTTCTCAAAAGTCAACAAAAGTTTGCATTTCAAAGCTAGAGGGAAGAAATTTTGTATTTTTTCAACTTGTTTCTGATAAAAAATTGGTTGCTTTCCAAATTGCTTTGCAGGTGTGTTGGCAGCGGGATAGAAACAAGGAGATACCAATCCAAAAAGGCTAACTTGACTGTGCTCTTTGATAAATACATGCCTTCTTACTAGGAGCAACTCAGAAGAGGATTTAAAACTGTTACTCCTATTCCTGAGAATAGTATGATTCAGGTATGTATTAGGATTATTTATATTTTAATAAACAGTATTTCTGAAACATCCACTGAGTATGTGGTCCAATGCAGGAGTAAAAATGGTTAAAATTACTGTGTATCCGAAAGGTATGTTGGGTGAAATTGAGAGGCTCCTATATATTGAACCTGGACCCTTATTTTGGAGACCTACAGGAATTCAGAGGTTTCATATTGCAGTGCTTCACTGTAACAAGAAGAAACACAGTGTGTTTACGGCACTGCACATAATTGCCTGACTTCTCAGTTCTTGTGTTGCTTCTGTTAGCAATGTCTTAGGTAGCTTACGTCTAGCCATTTTATCTCTCTGTACAAGCATTCTGCCTCCCTCTAATTAAATGCTCACTAAATTCATTAGCATTAGTAACTCTCTGATGATGAGTCCCTACATTATTAAATGTTATTAAAGAATGGAGCTGAGCTGTTTATTTCATATATAAACGATCTGATAACTGCACATCCTTATGTTGACATTTTGAATTTACTTAATATGCCTTGTCATTCTAAACTCTGAGTGTTTGCCTGCTTCTAAATAAGTCAATATGAGAGGAGACAACTAATTAAGTATGAGTGTTAACAATTTGCCATAGCGTACGTGCCTGAACCATGTCATCATCTTCATGTACCTTGCTTTAAGTAGTGTAGAATGAAGGTGTTGTAGTACATTTTATCAGAAGACCTCTTCATGCCTTTGACCTCTGAAAGGAGCTCCTAGACAATAAGGAAGCACAGCAAGGAGTTGCGGTCTCTCTACTTAAATTTAATACCTTCTTGAGGTCACTGTCACCTTCCTATGCAGTAAGTCTCACAAGTCACTCTCTTCACATACTTATTTATTGCAGACACCCTGTTCTCTGCTGGGTTGTTCACTGACCCATGAAAATGTGCCAATGGATTTCCCCAGAGAGCTCTGAGAGAGGTATTTTTAATTTGCTTGTATTTGGGTGTTTGGTGGGGCGCGCTCTCAAGATCAGGTAAGTTAATCAAAATGACCACAGCATCTCACTGTGCTTGAAAAACAGATATATACACATACCTACCTACCTAAGTATCTAAACAGATATGAATACATATGTGCAAGTGTGTGCGTGTCTGTATATGCAGGTTTCTACTCACTAATACTGATAGGGGATGCAGAGCAATGGCCCATGCATCTGATTTGCTGGCCTGTAGTACGGTCTACTTTAGCTATCAGAGCTCATCTGCGAATGAGCTAACTTGAGCAGAGGGAGCTGACTGCCTACGGTGCAAGACTGTGTGCAGAGTCCCTTACCATGCATAGAGAAGCTGTGTTTACTTACCACTTTTATTTTCTATCTATACTAAATTCGCTGGCAAGCAACAAAAAGTAATATGAAGGTCATGCCTACCAGAATTAAAGCATCTAGTAAAGGGCTGGACAGATGTATGTTCAATCTCAACTGTTGGATTTATACTGAGAAATGTAGATATAAGCAAGGCATTGTAATGCATTCCCCTCAGTGAGATTTTTTTGTTGTGATGCTACAAAAGGTTTGAAGAAGAAAGTTCTAAAACTCTGCCATTATTTGTCAGCGTTTTGCTTAGATAGGCCTTGATTTCTTGAGAAATATCTAGTCATACTTGCCTATTAAAGACTAGAAAAATACGGTTCAATTTACTGCCGTTTAAATTAGATTAAACCTTTGTGAAGGAACAAATTTATACATGCGTCATCCATAGGTAAAAGAGCACCTTGCATATGTTGAAGAATCAGAAGCACAGCATCAAGAGACTGAGAAGGTCTTTTTGGTCATATTAACATCTGTTTTCCTATCCCTCAGGAAGACTTGCTGTTCTGCGGACACGCTCAGGAAGATCTTGTCTGAAGCAAGTTATCCCTGTGGTCTCACAGGTATATAAGTTTAAACTGAATTTAGAAGTTTTAGGAAATAAAATATTTGGTCTGGATGTGTTTGTGGGTTAGCTTTGGTGAACAGCCACGCACCCACCCAGCTGCTCGCTGACTCCCCCTCCTCAGCAGAGTAGGGGGAGAAAACAGGCTGAAAAAGCTTGTGGGTCGAGATGAAGACAGGGAGATTGGTAAGCAGTTACTCTCATGGGTAAAACAGACGATTTGGTGAAGATTAATTTTATTTGTTGCCAATTAAAAGGGGTTTGGGTAATGAGAAACAAAGACAAATATTAAAACAAAACTTTTCCTCCTTTCCCTCTCCCACCTCTGAAGCTCATCCTCACTCCTCCACTCCTGACCCTTCTACTAGCCTACTTCAAGTAGCGTAGGTGGCTGGGGGGTTATGGTCAGTACATAGTGGTTTCTCTGTGCCACTCCTCCCTCTCGCACTTTACACATGCTCCAGCATGGGCTGTGCATGGACTGCAGTCCTTCAGGGCACATTCACCCGCTCCACTGTGGGTATCTGCTCCAGCATCGTGGAGCTGCTCCTCCTCCTCTGAGCTTGGTGTTCTGCTGTTTCTCAGTCTTCCTGCCCTTTCTTGGACACGCTTTCCCAGAGGTGTCCCACCTGTAGTTGAGGGGCTCAGCTGTGCTGGAACTGGCCATGTCCAGCTCAAAGCAGGATCCATCTCTCTCATCCTTCTCCCCATCCGCTCCTCACAGCGGCCCCCCTGCAGCCCCCCTGCTGCCAACATCTTGACACCTGCACCTGATCCAGGATGTTACTGACTTTCACCCCTCAAACAGCAGCAATACAAACTAAGATATCGCGTTGATGTTGTTGGTGATTGCATCACAGTCTACATGTATATGCATTTAAAAATAAGAGTCCCTTGTCAGTCTGTTTTTCGTGTGTGCTTCATATGAATGGCTCGATGTGGAAATAGTACTGTAAACAACTAATGCATCATTTTATAGCTTTCAAATTACCAAGCTGAATTCAGCTGCTAGTGGCTTAAGAAGATGAAGTCAGTGAAGTTTCCATCCAGGGCACAGTGTTTGATTATTATCTTGATCTGGAGACCAGGAAGTTCCTGCCCTGGATGGGTAAGGTCCTGACTCCTGACATGGATCCAGATGCCCCTGTGCAGGTACAGTGCACACCAGTGACCACGCAGCTGAGCATTGCTAGATGCAGGAGCATTTTGGGGTCTTGTCACAATTTCTGATGTCATCTTAGATGTGCTGGAAGTAACACTCTCTGGATGTGTTTGGATAAATCTCTGCTGTCTGGGCCACATGCCTTTAGTTGAGTGTTGAGGATTAACAATAAAGTGATGCTTTTATTAACTTCTATATTATTATAGCATTTCTAAAGATATACCATATTCAGTTTGTTAGTATTTTATATACTTTTTCCACAGTAGGAGAAATTCAGGCTCCAAGTCCATTTCATCATTGAAAATAATGCCCACAGCAACTGTGCACCAGAAATTGAAGCCTTAACATTTTTCTATTGCCAGCTTTATGCACAGGTATTCTTTTGCCAGATGAAGTCTTTTCATACTAACAGAAGTGTATGAGGTCTAGGGAAAACAAATCACTTGATCAAAAGCATAGTGGAAAGGTGATAAATTTAATCAATTTTAGACTTATATTGGTGAATATATGTGGAGAAATCAGTGGAGAAACAGAAAGCATGAGCTATTAGTTGTGATTGCCTTATTTTGGGTGTTTGGTTGTCTTTGCTTGTTGTTCAGTGTGTTTCACATAGAATACTCTCAAATGCTTCATATTTTTTTGATTGCATTAAATTGTTAGGTCTTTTTCTTTTTAAATGCTTAGATGAGTAGGAATTTTTCCTGGGACATTAGAAGTTTATGGGCATAGAAACATGGAGCTGATGATCAAAAGGCATTATCCATTATCGGCTATCCTGTAACAAGTTCTCTTTAAGGGTTGATATTTGGTAGGAAAATACAGAGCTTGGATAAGAAACCTTTATCAGGCAATGAAGGTTTTAGGTGCTCACGGTGAATAAAGCTAACCTATTGCCAATTACTTGCCCAAACAGTTTTAGGTATGCTGATAGCCAGGCCAAAAAGTAAATGGAAATACTAATTGAAAAATTAAACCAACTACCTGTTGCACCAGCCTTTGTTTCTCTACCAGTTTTTGGGAGACTGGCATTCTGTAAAGGTCAAGATGGAACTAATGCATTTCAGCTACAACCTGATTTCAGAATCTCCCCACTAGAAGAAGTTGAATACAAATTTTCAAGTAGAAATGCTGTGTAAAAAGTAATCCAGTGGAACATTTTGTTCTAGTAATTATGTCTGAGAATGAGAGAATGGTGTATCCCGTTTCATTCTTTTTAGAATTCAGTCCTAGCAAGAGAGAGAGAGAGAGGGAAATTACTGTTTGCTTTTAAAACTCAATTATGTTGTGCAAGTGTTTGCATGGCTTTTTTCTTCCTTTTCAATTTCAGGCAATCTTTGTTCACACATCTGAGACTGCACCTTTCAAATATTTTATTGATTTACTTTTAACAAAAGGCAAACCAGTCCTGCTTATTGGAAATGCCGGAGTAGGAAAAACAGTGTTTGTAGGCAATAGGCTTGCTGCTGTCTCTGAAGACTACCTCCCTAACTAACATGGTTAGCATCCCTCTCAACTGCTCTACAAAACCAGCAGTGCTCCAGAGTAAGTTCCATACGGATGGAAGAAACTTATCTTCCCTCAACAGCAAAGGTGAAAAAATATTATGTGGCTATTACAATTTCATACAGCTGTTGGCTACTGCCATTGCCTGGGTAACTCAGGCTCATTGCTTCACAAAGTGGAAAACTTTGGGGCAGTCGGGGCAGGCAAGAGGAAAGGAGGATGAAACTTTGGGACAAGCTGGCACCGACACTGTGCTTCCACAAGTTGCTCTGTGCTCGTGGACAAGAGAAAATTTGGCTTTACCAATGTTAACAAGAAGCCTCCGTGTTGTGCCTGTAGATGTACCAAAAAGGACAGCCAGGAGTTGGGGTTGGTTTTGCTAGGCTCCATACACTACCTGAGGAGGGGCAATCCCTGTCTCGGGAAGTCTGGAGGCAGGATGAATGCAGAGCAAGAAGTTACTTAACACACAAGCAGAGGGGGCTGTATGTTGGCCAAAAATGTTACACTGGTGGTAGGTTTTGGAACAAGAGGAGTCAGTCAAAGTAAAATAGGCTCGTAAAAGCTCCACGTCACTTCTGCTTTTCATGAACAACACAATCAAGGGAGAGCCCAGCTGCCAGTGGGTATGCCCTCAATGCCTTCTTTTTTCATCCCTATAGTAACCTGAACTGATCTAACTATACAGAAAAAAATGGTATGCCCTATTCCCTGTACATCTTTTTACAGCTCTCACAGGAGAGGTGTTCCATCCCTCTGATCATTTTGATGGCCCTCCTCTGGACCCTCTCCAACAGGCCCATGTCTTTCCTGTGCTGAGGGCTCCAGAGCTGGGCCCAGTACTCCAGGTGGGTAGGTCGAGCAGAGCAGAGGGGCAGAATCACCTCCCTCAACCTGCTGGCCACACTTCTTTTGATGCATCCCAGGATACGGCTGGCCTTCTGGGCTATGAGTGCACATTTTGCAGCACAGGAAGTTCCACCTCAACATGAGGAAAAACTTCTTTAACTGTGAGGGTGATGGAGCAGTGGAACAGGCTGCCCAGAGAGGTTTGTGGAGTCTCCTTCTCTGGAGACGTTCAAAACCCGGCTGGACACGTTCCTGTGCAACCTGCCCTGGGTGATCCTGCCTTGACAAGGGGCTTGGACCAGATGATCTTCAGAGGCCCCTTCCAACCCCTACCATTCTGTGATTCTGTGATTGCCAGCTTGAGTCCAGTTTTTCATCCATCAGTACTCCCAAGTCCTTCTCAGCAGGGCTGCTCTCAATCCCTTAACCCCCCCAATCTGTACTGATACCAGGGGTTGCCCCAACCCAGGTGCAGGACCCTGCACTTGGCCTTGTTGAACCTCAGGAGGTTCACATGAGCCCATTCCTCAAGCTTATCCAGGTCCTTCTGGATGGCATCCTGTTCCTCAGATGTGTCAACAGCCCCACTCAGCTTGGTGTCATCTGCAAACTTGCTGAGGGTGCACTCAGTTCCTCTGTCTGTGTCATTAATGAAGATTTATTTATTCTTTGAAGTATTTCCAAATTCATGTTAACTTAGAATCCTGCATTATCAGAACTTAATTACCTTTTTACCCCTCAAACTGAATGGAGAGATACGGGGAAAAGAAATGTGCTGTGCGTCAGAGTAAGATCATGAACTGATGTAAAATGTCATAGCTCCTTTAATGGGGAATCAGCCTTAAAAAGTTTTCAGGTATTCCTCTGATCAGAGAGGGATTTTTTAGCTAGTGACTGTCATTCCAGCAGCAACCATGACCAAGGCACTACAGCACAAAGACATAACACTATCCACTGCAAACAGAAGGTGATGAAAGGAGCCTCCAGGCAACAAAAGCTATGTATTATTCTTGCAGGAAACTTATTAAATAAATGAAAGAGGTGAAGTCAGTATCACAGGGACTTTCTCTGCAAGTGTATCGTCCCCAACAACTATACTGTGGCATAAAATTTGGCAGTTTATGGACCTTTAAGGATTTGCTATGAAATGTTAGTAGGTAGGATTCCTTCAGATTTTAAGTCAGTATTGTATAACGTCCACCTCTCCTTCTAAGAAATACTAAGAAATGAACAAAGAAGTGTACTCCTCTGGTTATCTGCAGCGCTTCCTTCTGTCCTCTGCTCTTCAGCCAAGTCCTTCTTGTTAAATGCTCTCCTAGAAAGTCCCTCCACTAATCATACTGGGGGAAGTACTGCATGACAATTCAGAAACAAAAACGTTGTGTTTGCTTTCTGTTGTGTTTGCAACACTTTTTCGGTGAGCTGTGACGATGTGATTTTGTTCTGTCACATATAGCTCAAAATGACTGCCTCTTATGTTATTTTTATGTTTGTGTGTACCAATGTTTCCTTCTATAAAATGCATTTAAGTGATAAACTGAAATGCCTTCCTTATGTGTTTTAGGCTACCACTCCAAGCAATTGTTTGGAACAATCAGATTGTTGGAGGTTTTTTTAAAAGCAAAAAGGCATTCACATCAATTTACACAAATGAGCAATTTAAATTAAGTCTCAGTTCAAAAAGAAGAGCTTAAGAGATTAATTTGTTGAAGTACAGTTATTTACTACATTGCCATGTTCTTTCCACAGTTTGGAGGTTAAAAGATTTTTCTTACAGATGAAATCACATTTAATCTGCAGTATTTTCTGACAGCTCCCATCTTATCTGTATCCACATAACTTTTTTTGAGGTATCTGCTAGAGTGGGTGAGATTAGCATATAGTGTTGAGTTTTATTTAGCATTCCCCCAAGGCATATGACTCACCCGCTCTGCCTCTACAACAGCAGAAAACTTCAAAATGTTACTTGATGGAGGCAGGTGCTGATGCAAACTAATATTGGTACATGAAGTTTGGGGTCTTCCAGAGTACTGGAAATCTGGAACAGTGCCATAGAGAAGAAATGTGCATAAGCATTTATGTACAATGGAATTTAGTACAATATATTTTCTTATTGTACTGTAATAATACAGTATTTTAAAAAATACAATATGGGTAATAAATTGTAATTGTGGACACTACTTAAAATTTAGATAAGGTTAAGGATCAAGAAGGAATATTCCTAATTTTGGGTTTAAAAGTACAGGCACATACGTAACTCCTCTAAAAGGAGAAGAAAATCTTTTATGTAAGATTTAAAGGTAATTAAGATACTTAAAAACTTATATATGCACATAGTTTCTTTCCCCTTTGTGGTAGAAAAGCAGGATAAGTGCAGTCATGGCTTTTTCCCCCACAAATTTATGATCGTCCAGGTGCAAATATGTTGAGCTTCTATGTTTCTCTCTTGTCCTCCAGCACACCCTCACTTTTTATCTGCCTACTTTTGCTCTCCACCGTCAGTAACCATCCTTTTAGCTGACTGTGACTAGACGGAAATGTCCTTGGAAACATTTGTTATCTTTCTGGAATGGGCCAGAAAAAAATCACTGTTGAGGTTTGCAGTTGATTTATTTCATAGTTTGAAGAATCTAAGATGATAACACAATACTCCTTTTGTCCTAATGGAACCTGTTTGCAGCGATGTGTTTGTTTATAGTGCTTTGCCTAAGAAACCAAAAAGTCTGCGCGTCAGAACCACGGCAGTGCTGTGACATACAGCATTCAGCTGCCTCTAGGCAAGTGTGGTTTCCATTTCCTACAAGCTCTCATGAACATGTTGCTCAGTTTTTGAAAAACCAAGACAAGGTCAAAACCAAATATTTACATTTCACTCTTTTCTGACTAACCCAAAGGATTTTAACATACAGCCTAGTATAATGGAAAAAAGAAAGAAGTCTGTAGTCTGCAGTTTTTTTCCTATTCTACTTACTGTACATTGATAATCCTTTTTTTCCTTCCTCACTCTCCTTTCTTGACAAATAATAAAGCCGCAAAAAACGTGGGCTTGGTCATCTCAAAACCAATAGCAACTGTAGCCCAAATTCACAACGCTATTTACTGGAAAAAAATCTGGGCTAGATGCACAAAATTTTTGAGAATACTTTTTCCTCTTGCCCAGCAGTATTGAGTGAGAAATCTCGTGCATGTAGGATCCGAATTAAATTCTCTTCTGTGCTGCAAGGGTTGTAACCACCGTCTTCCCTAAATGTTTCATAACCACCTTTGGTTCAAATCCCTGCCCTGAACGAAGCAGAGAGAGACTTTGAAATTAGGCTGCTCCCTGAAGATGAGAGCCCCAGTCACTGAGACATGCTGAAAAGTTTTCCTCGAAGTCCACCTATTACCGTGCTTTCATTTTGTGCCAAGCATTTATGTGATCATTTAGACAGCAAAAACAGATGACCTAGGAAGGAAGAGAGGTAAGATAGATAGATTCCAGTCCTGCTTTAATAAATTCATAATGATGATGAAGCAGTTGCCTGTGCAGCTGGAAATCAGCTTCCATGGAGGATGAATCCTTTATTGTGAATCGGTGGAGTACTTCACTAGATGACAAAAATTGAGGATCCCATCATACCAAAGTTCAATATTTTAACAATGCTTAATACAAGTAGTGTTCTTCTGTATTTTCAATATGACCTCGCAGCTTTCTGTAGTTATTCTTCCCCTTACACCTGTAAGGGAAGTAATGCAGTTGGTTAAAAGTTGTATAAATTCAAAATTTGTGTCTCAAGATTTTACAGATCTGATGAATACGTAAGGGTATTTGAATTGATTTGCTCACTGTTGTAGTAATTTTTTTATCTGATGGTCTGCATTCAGCATCATGTAAGCACCTCATTTGGGGGAATAGGCTGAAATTTAATACAATCAGCTTAATACTCCTTAGTATGGGAGATGCCACACTGATTAAATTATACTTACCATTCTTTTGTTTACACCTTTCATATGTTGAAGGCCTTGTTTAATCCCAGAATAGCTGTGGATTTCACATTCAAAGCATTTCAGTTCCAAAGGATGCAGATGGATATGCGGTGAGATTTTCCAAAGCCGTGAAGTAGTGAATCAGCTAAATCAACAAGACTCTTCTGGAATTCGGAATCCCAGTGTGATGTCTTTTCAAAGGCACTCTGTAAGTTTCACTGATTACTAACGGCTTCAGTAATTTGAAAACCCTTGTAGGTGCTGAAATGTTTCATAAATTTTAGCCAGCATGATTTTGAATTCATTTTGTTTAGTTTTAGTATTGCTTAGTATGGTAATAATTTTATATATGTTGTGTTACATTTCAGAGATGCTTGGGAAAAAGCTGGTCATGGTCCAGTAGGAAATAAGAAACTTATCTATTTTATTGATCATTTGAATATGCCTGAAGTGGATAGATATGGAACGGTGCAACCTCAATGCATTGATTCGGCAGCATATAGATTATGGGCACTGGTGAACATTTACTTCTTACTTAATGTTATGCTATAATTTTTGTATTGTGGTACATGATGGGATCCCTAAACCACACAGAAACAGAAAGCTTCAAAGAGAATTGCTTAAAGATAAAAACATACTCTCCCTGGTGGTTATAAACAGATTTAGAAAAGAGAAGCAGAAAGTGAAGGGGCTATAGAGAGTCCTGGAAGGAAAGGATCTTTCAGCTGCTCCTGATGGAGCTGCTGAATGTTGACCCCATCGATTGACCTGATGAGAACAGGGATGTCTGAGATACAAAAATCGATTCCCTAAATTGCAGCTTGCCAAATGTTCATCCTGTACCACACTCTATCTTTTCATCACCCTGTAAAGACAACAGACAAAATCCACAGAAACTTTATGATTCTGATTCAAATGAATGCTCTTTCTCTTTCTCTGCCATGAGAAGAAAACCACAGAAGATAACCACTGAAGGATAATTAAGTTGATTTAGGCAATTAAGGTAATTCCCTTCTTACTTTCCAAAGGACAATTTAATTTTTTGGCAGTTGAGATATATTAGTGTCCTTTCACCAGAGTCTGTGGAAAGAGAAAGTTTTCCGTTTAAAATAACTGATTAGTGTTTGATGTAATTCTGTTACAGGAGGATCTATATCTTCTGTAAATACTTCATTGTTATAATTATAAGTGCATATTAGACTCTTGTTCATGTACAAGCATGTCACATTTACGTGACATGAAGAAAACGTGACATACAAAGAATACATTGTGAATGATCTGGTGAGATAAGGAGGGGAGTAATCAGACATTTATTTAAAAAAAATAAGTAAAATACACATAGCTATGTGTCTGTGTATTGTCAAACGGAGGTGCACAGACAGGCAGGCACTGCACGCCCAAAACCAGCCATACTTCAACAGTATTAGGAGCCTGAGTGTATCTACTCAGTTCTCTACTTCTTCACCATGTGTTCAAGGATTTTACCCATACCCTTAAAACTTCTGTTTCATAGAAGGTTCTTTTCGCTGATATGTATCGTGTGATCTGACTATAATTGTGACCAAGGCGAGGCAATAGTGTCTGTACTGTTCTTACATCTTTTAATGCAGATTCAGTTGAATCATATAAGCTTTTCACTAGGTCATATTTCATCTCATGAAAGAATGATACCAGGCATCAGCTGAATATCTTGTTAAGGTAGAGAGAAAAGATGTAAAGAGGAAAAAAAAAAAAAAAGAATTAAAAGGAAGCGACTCTAAAGAGAAAAAGGGAAGTCACTGCTCAAATCTGAAGCATCTCCAGCTTGGTGAAATCAATCACATCTAATTTGGTGACATGCAAAGCTAACATCTCAATGCCCTTGTGCTTTATTCCCATGTTATTCTAGCTATATGCTATTCTAGCCAGGAATCTTTTTGTTTTCTCACTAGGATTTCAAACTTCTGATCTTAAATAGTCCCTACTGTTTAAAACTGTTGATGTTTCTTTCCTTTCAATTGTTTTGAATTGTTTCTTTTGAAACAAAACCAAACCAAAAATTAAAAATCTCTATTTTACAAAACAAATCAAATTAGGAAAAAAGTTGACCATGCCATTCAGGAATTTTAAACATATCCATTTAAGAATACTAAAATAGAGTAAAAGTTGCTGCAAATGCATGGAGAGAAAGAGAATGTATTATCCTATGAAGTTCTGGGAAGAATTTGTTGATTTAAGCAGGGAATGGCTGCATTATTTATGAGTTTTCCTTCTAAAGTGTTTGTTGTGTTTGTTTTTTTTTTTTAAAGACAGTACCTGCTTGGCCTAGTTCAGTTGTATGCTAACTTCTGAAGAAACGAGACTGTCTTCAGTCTTGGGCAATCAAAACTCAAATTGCCAGCTACTAAATGCCTCAATTTTTAATTTTTTTTTAAGTGGCCTCCTTTTAATTTATCTGGAGCTGTGTCATCTGGAGAACTGGAAACAGTATCTATTGGATGATGCTGCAAAAATAGGAGTGATCTTTTAAGCATGCCACCACATATTCTATGATGATCTTTGCTGGTTTTTTTTCTTATTGAGATCTGTCAATTTTGTCTGCTCTTACCTATGATGGTTGTGTGCATTCTCAAATTGACTTGAACTTCCTTTTACCATGTTTAATTCATCCAAGTTTGTTTAGAGCCAGTTTCATTAAAAAAATCTCCTTCATCATCGTCAGAATGTTTTGTGAGAATGTAATGTCTTCATTTGAACAAAAATGTTGGACAAAATATTATGTGATAGAAATTGTGGGATTTTTCTTAATTTTAAAACAGCAATCCTAAACTGATACTTCTATTTGTATTCCAGATTTCCCATAGGGCATAAATATTGATTCTTCCAACTGAGGCTAAGCCTGGAAAATGTACAGTATTTTGTCACTAATAATGATCAAGCTACTCTTTCTTTCTCAGATATGATAGGCAAAAGCTAACTATTAAAGAAACTCATAATTGTCGGTATATTGCCTGTATGAATCCAACTGCTGGCAGCTTCACTATCAACCCTAGACTCCAGCTACGGTTTGAAGTGTCACATTATAGCAATCCTGTATTTAATACATGAAATAATTGCTATTTAGCTTTTCACTGCAATAAGTAGGAGATGAAAGGGGAAAGGAGAAAACATAGTGTCTGAAATGTAGTACAAGTTCAAAATCCTGCGGTTCCTGTAGCTAAAAAAAAAGAGACACACCGTATTTATTATGCTATTGAGATTCCCCTGAATTTCACATCAGTTGCAGTCTCATGTGGTCCTTCACCTGGCAGGTGTGCCCTTGGGTCTTGTAGCCAGACATGCAACTGCTGTGGAACTGCATCAAGGATGAGGCTAGAAATGAAGTATTTTCTGTGACACACAAGTAACTGTATTTTCACCAGGCTGTATTGTCATTTAACACTTCATTGACTCTTACCTGCTGTTTGATGCTGGAGAATCTTCATCTCTTTTTCCCTTTTCATTTTCAGAGACATTTTGCGTGTATAGCAGTATAGTTTGCTTCGGCTTCCAGCAACATGCTTTTACTCCATCAGTAATCAAGAATATTCCAGCCATAGTACAAGTAGCTGTATGATTTCAGCAGGTGATGGTTCAAAACTTCCCGCCAACTGCTATTAAGTTCATATCCTTAACACAGGAGAACACTCCAGTGTCTTCGAGGTCTATATCATGGGTTAGTTTTCTACCTAACAGCACTCTATTATTGCTGCACTTTAAATTTAATGATATACATTGGCCTGTGGACTAATAAAGAACAGATGGTTTTTGTACAAAGTAGAACATAGTCCCTGCCCTGAGATGACTATGGTCAGGTAGATGAAAGGAGTAGAAAGCTGAGAAAGAAAAAATATTTAGTGGAAATAGAGCAATGGTTTGCAAAATTTGCTATGCTTACTTATTATTTTGAGAAGAGAAGGTCAGCATTTGTTTAGAAGGAAGAACAACTTTCTGGAGACTAGGTAGAATGAAACAGATTGAAGAAGGTCTGAAGGAGGGGCTGAAACCAGTAGCCAAACACCAGAGCAGGGAGAAGAATGAGGGAAGGATAAAATACAATGAGGAAATCCTCGTCCCTCTTGTAAAATCAGGTGAGTCTGATCTTGGTTTGGTTTTACCTGCTTTCCTGTTCCTTGGACTGCAGTTCTGTTCTCTTCCAGGGTATTTTTCTTGCCTGGCCACCCCATGGACCATCGTGAACTGTTAGCAAGGAGGCAAGGTCAGGTCTCCTGTTATAACACATACCTGATTTGATGGGGATGCACTGGCCCATCATGCATATTTGCACCCATCCTGGTGTGGAATTTGATAAGGAAGGAAATTTGAGGTGACAGTTGAGAAAGTGCTAATTTTGTCATGCTAAACTGTGTCCTGTTTTCTTGAGTGGTATTGCAAAACAGGGCTAGTGAACACATAAGGTCCTGGCAGTGCTGATACTTCCCTGTGTCCCGTACTGCACCAGAGCCTCAAACCATAACGAGTCACCTAAGTGTGCCAGTCAGTGGAGAGCAGACATTTCTTATAGTCAAATTTTCCATGCTCAGTTGGCTGGGGAACTTGCTAATTTATAGACATTCTGGTTTGTGTTAAAGAATATGTAGTTTCAAGCACAATATGTATTTAGTATCTACTCTGTATGATTAATGTCTTTGCAGACTATCAGTTAGTCTTCTTTAGAAGTAGCATATTTTGATGTCAGATGACAGCATTTAAAAAAAATATATATTTTGTTATCTTTTAGGGTATTCTGTTTGCTACACCCAAGTGTTTACAGCAACCAAATGATCTTCAACGTCTCTGGCTTCACGAATCAGCACGTGTCTATGGGGATAAACTGGCAGAAAACAAAGACTGTAATTTATTTTATAAAATGATGATGGATGCTATGCACAAGTATTTTGAGGTAAGTTAGTAGCTTGAAAATATTTTGCCTAATGCCAGCAAGTTAAAAACTGGGTAGTGAAAGGTCTTATTTACTGGAACTGTAAGTAGCAATAGCACACTATCTGTTTATCCTCAGCCCCCAGTGCAAGCATCTTCCTTACTGAGGAGAACCAGGTGCCTGGGTAAGTGAAAAGAGGTGACCCAGGAAGCTTCCCCCTTGAGAAGATTCACAGGTGGTTATTCTTACCTTGTCTTATTTGAAGGTGCCGTGCAGCATGTGTAAGTGGGATATCTATAAAGGGAATAAGTAATTCATCATGATGGTACCAATGTTTGCACAAAGTTGTTGCTTTTTACTGTTCAGAGGTTGTTGAAGTGCAGACACATAACACTGTCAATGGAAGGCTTATGCACGGGCACCATGCAGCAATAGTCCCGCTAAATATATTTGTTTATTGGTGCCATTGTGGAGGAGTAGATTGTGGCTCAGTGTTAAAGCTAACCTCCATTTTGTTTGTTTAAACAGAGATTCATCCTTTTTTTGCTCTGCACCAAAATTAACATCACTTGTTCTCTGAGGTTGGACAGATAATCTATAATGTTGTAGATAGTCTACCCTATTTTTTAACTAGTTAATGATGTAACAGGCCTTTGTAAGAAAAGTAATATTTATCTTTTGTTTCCAAGAAAAGGAAGATGCTTTTAAAATTAGATTAATTTAAAACAAGGACCAGTAATACCTTAAGCATATACTAAATGGTGCATGGCAGACTTGAGGTTGCTTTGCTGCCTAGCCTAGTACTTTTTAAAACCCAAACCAGACCAGACTTCTAAGTGTCATCATGGATTTATTTTATTTTATTTATCCATAGATTTTTTTCATCTGTATTTTTACCTTATCTCAGTTTAATGTTGTGTTTCTCATGTCGGGCAATATCTTAATATGCGTCATGGCCCAAAATCTCAGTTTCTGTTTTGAGAATCTGATTAACTGCATCTACTTTGTTTCCATACATGGAAGAAAACCAGCCAGTTTTCAGAAGACGAAGTGAAGATTTTGCTGAATAAGCAAGGCACAGACTTCATTGCTGCTCCTTGTCATTATTTGTAATCTTTCTTCGACGTAGACAGTCATTCTGGTCATGTATAATACCAGTTATTTCCAGAAAGAGAGAGAGGCCCATGCTGGCAGAGCTTAGTTTTGTTAAAGCAGTTTCTATTATTTGCAATGTCAAATCATTTAACACAGAACCTTTTCTTCTCATTGAGTTGGACTAGGATTTCAGTGTCATCGTTTTTCACTTTGCACATATTCAGGCAGGAGCTATGTAAGAGAAGGCACTCTTGACAAAGCAGTCTATTGTAGAAGTTTCTCTCCAAGAGGATTAAAAAAGAGCTTAAATTACAAAGATAATCATAGGGATCTTTCATAGGGACTGTAGATTTTGTTCTGCTGATTTAGAGGTTGATGTGATAATCATCAGAATTGCAGACAGAAGCCTTCTCAGGTATCGCTGGTTTTGCTTGAAAATGTTGGTAAGCCATTATCTTCTCTCTGAACTCTAGTGACCGAGAGTAGTGTCCCAGTTTGGCAAGCAAAGTGGCAGGGTGTCTTAGCCTTACAAGTTGGCAGTCCTGGAAAAGTGTATGTGAAATCAAATCCTGTAAATTTTTTCCGCACCTTTTATGTTTTGTTTTTTTTATGGATCCATTGTGAAATCATGAATAAGGCTGACAGAGTTCTACAGTGAGGTCAAAGAGAATTGGCTTCCAGTAATGTTTTGGTTGAACAGGTTTCTACATCTTTATTAGATGCAAGCAGATTAGACACATTATCCCTTTATTTAAGAAGGTTCTCACTGATGTTTTTTCAGGGATGATTTTTTCAGTGGCATGAGACATAAAGAGAATGAGGAGGTTGCTTTTTGTTTTTTTTTCATTGATACATGGAAGAAAAATGAAGCAAAAGGTCCAATGTGCTGTCACTAAACTCTGGTCTGATGATGCTAGGCTGTAATCCCTTAGAATCTGCATCTGATTTAAAAAAAAAAAAGAAATTTTGAAAATAATTTTTAGATGTTTATATAAATGATTAAGATATCAACTGCAAGATATTTGTTTTAATGTCTCAAACATGTTTTTTTCGGGGGAGGAATTACCTCAATACTTACATTTGAAAATTCTAGCAACTAAGTTTTGTCTTATTTGCGGCCAGATTCTCGTCTGGCCTCATTCATCATATAGTATTCCGTGATCAGCAAATAAAAGCATGCCTTAAGTAGCCTGGGCTAGATATTCCAGGAGTAACTTAAATGCATATTTTTCATGAAGTGATTAGTTATCCTTCAGCCTTTGTGGTGCAAAATGCCAGATGTGAAATTCTCATGTGCTCCTAGGGCCCAGTCAACCTCTCTTCAAATTAACTAGGTCTTTATTCTGAGTCCAGTCAGGGTCCATCGGCATCTTGTAATGATGCTTTGGAGCAGCTCAATGTAAAGAATGAACAACCAGACAGCTCTGGTCATTGTAGAGATCAGTGCAGACCTTCAATATTTGACAAAGGAAAACAGCTTTTCTTTCTGCTTGTTCAAATATTGGAAAGAAACTAAATGCTGATTTGAAGATAATGTGCCTTTAGGTGTCAGGAGCACATTCCACAAAAATAGACAAAAAAGAAAGAAGGGAAAAAAAGAAAGAAAGCTTGGTGCAATAAAAAGAAATTGAGAAACTTGGCTAATGAAGTTGTTGAAGTCTATGTTACATTATTGTCTTTTTGTCATCAGGTGTCGGACCAGTCATATCCTAGAAGCCCCTAAGGGTAATGCACTTCTGATTGGAGTAGGTGCTAGTGGTAAACAAAGGTTGTTGAGGCTGGCAGCCTCTGGAGGTTTTCTGCTCCCTGGAGGTTTTCCAAATCACACTGAAGAAAGACTATGGGATCCAGGCCCTGAGGGTAAACTAATAGATATTATTTGAGTCTGTTGAGTTCACTACTTCAGGAATGTGGTTTGTTGTTGCACAGGCTTGATAAAATCACAGGCGCAACAGTATAATTTACAGTAACAACCCCTGTGGTTCCTGTGGTTTCCAGATGTACCTCTTGTTTTCTTTATCTCTGAAAAATGGGTGGTCAAAAGATATTTTAGTGTCTGTTCATATGCTTCACAGAATTTTTGTACTTTCTCCACTTTTTCCAAGGCACATACTACAATTTCACATAAGACAAAGATGTGGTTGAAGTTCTGGTATTTAAGTTAGCCATTTGTTACAAATATTTTGCGTGTCATTGCACGTGTATTCATTTAGTGGAATAAAGTTGATAAGGGTGAACACAGTGCAAAATTTTGTCCTTGTTGCATGCGAGTCATTTAATCACTTAAAATGGTCATACGCAAAGATAAGGAACATAGTTGAGTGTAGTGCTTTATCAGGCTTACAGACTTCAGGTCCTTGCAAGACTGAGCCCTATCTATGTAAGCAAAAAGCGAAGGAGGGAACATTTTTAGCCTCTTCACTCTGTGCAGACAGCAAGCAGTGCTTCTGAATCTCAGACACGGCTAAATAAGGATCTGATTATGGCCAAATTTGGTGTATGGTGGTCCCCAAAAAGCCCTTCTGTTAGCCTTGGGCCATGGCCAAACCACCACAATGTGTGCAGCCTGAGGCATCAGTTTTCAGAGGGAGGTACATGCTGTTCTGCTTTGGAAAACTGCTGCATCTTCTTCAGTGTCTTACATGGTGTCTTAACTTCTTGCGCCCTCCTTCCATGGGCAAATGAGGTGCAGTGTAAGATGTGGGCTCAAGTGGTCATTTCCCCAATGCTGTTTTCAAGTGGGGAAACTTCTAAGACTCTATTAAACAAGCCTGAGGATCTTCTTTCTGCTAGGTTGTGAGGCAACTTGTTCATATCAGCAAGGGTTGACCTTATTCTGTATTTCAAATGTGACCACACTTGAATGCAACTGATGTGGGTTGGTTTTATTCTAGAACCCCATGCCAAAAGGCATTCCATGTTTGTACTACTGCTAGCAAAATGGTGTTAGCATCCTTATATGACAGCAAAAGTAACAGTGCACCAGTGCACTACTCAATTTTTTTTTTTTAAATTGAATAAGTTCACTAAAAAAAACCCAAGTCTTGCAGAAATAACAGAGTTTAAAGTCAATCTGACTCCTCAGTGCTACTCTCAGGCATTATTGGTATGGTTATGGCTGCTCTTGATGGGGAGCAGCAATATCCTTTTTTTAGTCATGTCAAAACCTCAGTGTTTGATATGGAAAACTGAGGCAAACTGCTTTTTTGCTTTGGATGTTATGCAGGAAATTGTTGATATGTAAATAAAATGAAAAAAAGTAAGCAGTCAGAAATGCATTGCCATCCACTAACATGCCTTTCACACTTTCTCTGTATCAGTGTTTTAACAGAACATGAGTGATTGCCTCCTTTCCTTACAGGTAGATCTTGCCAGTTTGTACATCAAGACTGGTGCCAAGAACATGCCCACAGTGTTTTTGCTGACAGATGCCCAGGTTCCAGATGAATGCTTTCTTGTGCTGATTAATGACTTGTTGGCATCAGGTGATTAGACCAATACATTTCTTGAAAGATCTTTTCCAATGACAAATGATCTGTGGTTTCGTTGAACTTTAAAGAGATTATTTCTCTTTCAGGTGTTTGTAGGGGAAGCTTTTAGAGAGGCCAAGTCAACCCATCCAGCTTGAGCATTGGGTCCAACTTGCTTGAGAAAGCATTGCCCATGCAGGAGAGAAATTCCTAAGGCTTATCATGCATAAGTGCGTTGATCTGGGGGGAGATGGGAATCTCTCTTTGACTTAATGCCATGTTTGCTTTGATGTGATTTCGCTGCCTTCAGGCAATGTCTTTGTGACTGCACAAGTGTAACAGACAGCAATGTAGTTTCACCCATGTTTTAAAAATCAGAGAATTTGGGTTCTGAATGTGGGGATCTGGAGATAGGGTGGAAGAAAAATGGAAATTATATCATGCTGTACAATTGGAGAGCATCATGAAAGACTTTTTTTTTTAATTATTATTTACTTTTTGTAACCAGACTGGAAAACAATTTTCTAACAGCCTGTAAAAAAGGAACCACTGTTTTGAGGGATACATAATTTATGATTGAACTTCCTATCAGGGCAAATGTTTTTGTCTTTCTAAAACAATGTTGCTTCCTTGCCGTTAAAAAAAAAAAAATTGTTCTTTTTACGTGAAAAAGTGTGGGGAACAAGAAGGAACTGTTTTGTTACTTGATTTATCTATTATCATAGCATAGCTCTAGTTGTGCACCTAAACCGCATTGTGCTAGATACCACGTAGAAGATTGTTTCTCGGGTTGTATGTGTAAGGCTTCTCCTAACTACCCCTTTGTCTTTTCGCAGGAGAGGTTCCAGATCTGTTCAGTGATGAAGACATGAAGGGCATAGTTACAGGAGTTAGAAAAGAAGTCTAAGCCCTGGGCCTGATAGACACCAGAGAAAACTGCTGGAGGTTCTTCTCGAGTAGAGTGCGGCTGCAATTAAAAGTAAGGCATATTTCAGAGACAAGAGGCAATGTGAACTGGTCAAAATAACAACGTATATCCGTTATCTCATTACCCAGCATATGTTGTCATACTTCTTGCTGACCTGTGACACTGAATTCGCCTCTCTCACGTTACCCCTGTGATAACCTTCTCTGTGTGGAGGCTTGGTGCATGCCGAGTTTTACTCCCAGATCTGGCTGTTGACTCCCTGCCTGTTCATAGGGAAGTCACATAGCTGCTCTGTGTCTTAGCTTCATGGTCTTATGTTTTAAATATAATGATGCATTTCAGAGAGAAGTGAGGTGCTGATGAGGAGTTAGCAGTGCAGATAGTGCAATGGTAAATATGTTCTCTAATTACACATACAGTAATTCTGTATGTGTAGTCAACTCTAAAACATTTGCACAAATAAATGAAATTTCACAATAAATGTTAATTCTTTCTACTTTTCCTAAGCCATTTAAAATTGGGAAAACAAAAATACCCATGTAGCTGTTTTCAGGTCAAAAGCTGTTTAGCAATACACATTAATATGATACCACAATTACAACAAGTGTCTCTCTTAAACTCCATTTTAGAGGCAATGTTGTTGAGACAGACTGTAGTTCTCTCCTGAATGCTGGAAAGCAGAAGCTGGGAGCACTGGTTTTGGAGTGACACCTTTAGGAGCTTTCGGTTTCTTCAATTCAGTTTTACACATCATCTGAAACGTGTATGTAGCTGATAAGAAAATTAGAAGTCTGAAAACCATTACCCCTTTAGAAAGAGAATGTTTTGAAAGGAATATATGCCCCGTACTTTGTGTATTTAGCTGATCTGTTTGATTGGGGTTGAGAAAAGCCCTCCCATAGCAGATTGTTTCACAGTAGTCTTCTGTGCGGGTTTTTTCTTCATCTTCTGAAGTGTTTAACCACCACTGATCTAAAGACCTATTTGGTTATGACATTTTCTTCAAGTTCTTGCACTTTAAAACATACCACTTTCTCATTTTCTCATCTTCTCTCTTTTTTGTATTCTGCTTTAGTTTTGCTGATGTTCTTACTATCTCTAATTTTGCTGCTATCATTTCTGTCCCTCCACAAATTTATTCTGTAACTTAAAGGCCAGTGGAGACTTGTATGGGATCTAGTGTGACATACTCTGTATTGTTTCCACTTTTCGGGACTTCAGTGACATGGTCAATAGTGGTGCTTACTTTCGCTATATCTATTTCTAGTTGGTGTGATTTGTCTCTGTTTCATGACTATTGCATTTGTGTACATTTTTAAAGAAAGGACAGGAAAAAAATATGTCTAATATCTCTCATCATTTTCTTCTTTCACATTTCTTTCCCTTTGTGTTTTCCTTATTCCTCCAACAATTTCTTCTTTTTCTTTTCTTTCCCCCCCCCACCCCATGGAGTTACAACGGACAGCATCTTTTTTTTTTTTTTCCCCCCCCCCCCAGGTTTTTGAAAGCCAGCTTTCAAATGCCTTTTACCTTGCAACCATTTCACCAATCCCCCACTGTGGAAATTAGCACTTCTGGAGGCAAGAACAGGAGATACCTATTCATGTTGCAGGGGAGCAAAGTAGAGACATTATAGTACTGAGAGACATAAATTTCATGAGTTAACACACTGGCAGATATCTGTATGGACTTTCAGTTAGTGCTGGGCAACCTATCACCTCCTCCTTTTCCTAGATTTTGAAGAATAAAAGACTAATAAAATGTGAAAGAGAAAAAAATTGAGAATTTAGACAGTTTCAGAATGTTAAAGCTCAGTGAAGTGATACAGTCTCATTTTTCCATTTAATTTTAAATAAATCAACATCCTGCATTAAGCCACATTTCCCTTGTGCTCACCCATCATCTTATATCCTGTAGTTCTGTTTATTATGAGGAATCTGTAGCTCAGGAACCAAAACTACACAGTGCTATTCTTTGAACCACCATAGCTCTTGGGTTTTGTGTCGGTTTTGGTTTGATGGTGTTCTGTCTGGAACTTGCAATATGTTCTGCTGTAAATGTACGAAGAACATGCCATATATGTAGGTGCAAATTTATGTCAATATAAGTTGGAAGTATGTCAGCTGAAGACAGTGGATTGCACCATTATAAAATACGGGTCCGCAATTGAAGCATGTGTGAGGACATACATGCACCTGAGGATTTCAAAAGCTTTTGTGATGAATGATGAAATAAATTTAAAAGGAAAAATAGTGCTTAAGCAAACAAAGCTGATGGCCAAACATTGTAAATGGTAAGGTGCTGATGGTGCTAAGGTATGCCATAAGCTGAGAAGTTTCTACAGCTCATACTGATTTACTGGAGCACCAGACTTTTTTAAATATCCCACATCTCTGTGCAGTAATCACTCTTAAATACACTGCACAGTACCAAAATTTCTTGGAAAAATAAAGGTCAGAATAAGCAACTATTTCTCGAAAGCATGGATGTGAGGCAAGGTCAGTCAGTCTTGCTATCTCTTGAGTTCCACCTGATTTTATTTTATTCTTTTGGTTATAGCAACCCTTCAACTTTTTCCCAAAATTTGGAACACCATGCCTAAATGCCTTGCAACCCACATGTCCTACAGAAACATACTCTTAAATGTACTCTTTCCAGTAAACATACTCTTTACATCATTTCATCTTTGCATGTTTTCCAAGTTCTGCGTTTCCTGCTACCTCATCTCCGTTTCCTCAGTGCTTTTAAACATTACTATATATTCTAAAGCCATACATGTTATATGGCTTTTCATCTGACCTGAGTCTGTCACTCAGTCCATGTGCAGCCACTTCTTTTCATGCCCTGCTGATATCTACTACAAATACCCGCTCCTCCTTTCTTGGAGAAGTCTCTGCATTCTGTATTTTCCTCATGTTTCAAACTTGGCAGTCCCTCAGTATCCATTGTGAAGTCCTATAATCAAGAACTAAATTTGCTAGTTTTAGGGGAATGCCATTTCTCCAATTTCCTTCCAATAAGCAAACTTGCCTGGACTACTTTAGCCATCACATCCTTATAATGGTCTCCTCCTTGCACAGTCCTGTGAGTACTTAGGTGGCTTCCATTTTCTATGGAACTTAGCAGTACAGTAGTTTCATGCTTCAGCCAGAATTAATTTCAAACATGGGCAGGGCAGGTCCATATTATTATTATTACTTTTATTTTAAATCATTGCCTTTCATTTCCAAATCCAGGACACGTTAGCCTTTTCCTTATGGTCTGTTTCACCACTGACAGAACATCTCTTTATATCTGTGAATCTGAGAGGAACTTGTGCAGCCCCATGACAGCTCAGCTTTTGGCCAGCTCTCGTGGTTTTTCCTTTGGGGGTGTAAATACACATCCCGCTTGGCTTGACTGCTTTAATCTCAGCAGAGTTTATAATTCTATGTTAAACTAATAGTGACCCCAAATGTGATTATATTTGTCTGATTCATTGGGAAATAAGGATTCAGTTGATCATGCTGTCTATCATTTGATCAATCTCACCTCCCAAATAATTTCTGAACTTGCCAAACAGTTGCCACCAAGGAGGCAGCTGGATTAGGGACAGACAGACACGGTTACTGCCTCCCCACTGAATGAAGGCTCAGTTATGTTATTAGACAGCCAAGAAGCTATCGAGGATTTCTAAGTTTTGTAGCACACAAAACAGCTGCTTCTGCAGTTGGCAGGCTCTTACAGAGCTTCTGTTTCTCTATGAAAAGCTCCAGGCTTTTCTCATTTGGATGTCAGCCATCTCTTCTTGAGTATTTAGAGAGCTGATTTTTAATGATACATCTATATTAGTAAATTTGTGAGGTCCATTTTGTGGTCCTGAGGACTAGTGGCATGACATGGCTGGCATCCATGTAGCCTAGCTTTTCCCTTGCTCTGCTCACAAAATGATGGTGGTAATGTAGAGATGGTTAGAAATGATTCCTGGTCTGTACAGCTCCTTACTCCTGCTGCAGCACCATTTAGTTTCCCGTGTGTAAAATCATGCAAGTCAGTGTGCTAATACCTACATAGGATGAGTCCTGTCAGACTAGTGGCCACGTGTGTTTCAAGGTGTTCTTTAGTTCATTAGTATTAAGAAACACAGTTGTCTATCCTACTTGGTGAACCTAGAGAGCTTGCATATCTGAGATAAGCAGAAAGAGGTTGAACTGAGAAATAAAGTGTAAGAGACACATCTGTCATGAGAGTGACATGTGAGTGTAAGGCTCAAATGGAGAAATTAGGTTTTTGGGTTTTTTAAGATGGTGAATGCTACATGGAAATGATATTAATTTCACATTATACCAGTTCTTTTGTCCACACTGATGGTCTTCATTACTCAGTTGTGCGAATTTAAATCTTAAACATGTCAGATGAAAGACTTGCATAGTCCCTCTCAATCTACATTTCCTTCAAAGAAGGGGATGGGTCTATCTTGGAGAACTTCCTAAGTTTTCCTGTCACTGTATGAGATACTTTCACTGTAATATTTATCTACTGGTTGCCTTGCAAGAAATGAAGCATTTCTTACATGGAGCATTTCCTGTTCCTTTTTTTTCCCTTCTGTCAAATTAGACTGTCATCTATGGCCTGGGCAGAAGAAAAATGTTTTCAAAATATAACCTCCTTGCTTAAGCAAAGATTGTTCAAAATGTAGTCAGTAGTAATTACTCATTTTTCCTCACAGCTCTCTTGTTACCAGATCACATGGCATCTTCATTATTCTGTGTGCAGAGCAAGCAGTGCACAAGGTCCTTTATAATATTGGGAATTCACTGCAGGGAATGCAAATGAACCCTGAAAACAAGCCGCATCAAATCCATGCCTGGTCTGATTTTACCAAACTTCACTAAAGCTAAAGGAGATAGAAAGGTTACACTATGGTGAGGCTCTGGTTACCCACTTTTTGTGACTACCTTTTCAAGTATATGCTGTATCCTATTTTTTAATTGTCCAAAAATAATTTACAAAGACATAATTATCTAATTAGAGTGTTATTATAGCTAGGGCTGTACTGGAATTTCCTGCCTAACAATACAATATAGTAAAAAACACTCAGTTGTTACTTTGTGTTTTAGGGAAAAGTAGTGGAAATTAGAAACAGTGTGTTTGAATTTGAGCTCTATAACTTGCTGTTCCAAGAAGTAGTTTATTAAAGGATTGAGAAATTGTTCTTGTAAACTTCATCCTGACACAATAATTCACAAAGTTTGTGTGCAGGTAACTAATTTTACTTATTGTTACTTTTTTATTGGATTTAATTGTTTCTGTTCGTTCTCTGCAAGGTCTCTAGAATTCAATCTGCTGCTGTTCTCTTTGTTATTGACTTTTGCAGATCATCTCATCTAGTCCCTCTCTTCTTAGCTTTCATAGCAGTTCTTTTCAACTGCTACCTTCTGCTTTGTAATCTGCACTTGTAAAATTTGGCTAGGCATTTGCGTATGTCTGCATTGCAAGCAAAAATTGGACATTTGGAGGTGTGATAGATTCAGTTTGGCACCAGTGCTATAGCAAGGGCACATGTAAGAAGCACGTCAAGGTGGGGACAGGTATCTCTAGACTCTCTATTACCACTGCTACCATACCAGGGATGGTATGCAGATCTGAGAAGGTGGCTGCTAGAGGAATGAGAGAGGAGAAAATGAGGTGCCCCGTGCATTAACATTGTTCACAATGTCTCTGATATTATAACCAAAAATAGAATTTTATCAGAAAATGAGGTGACATGAATGAGAGGGA